TTTCCCAGCTATGACAAGCAAGAGTGCTACCCTGTGGCTCCTCACCTGTAGCCAGCTGTTACATCCTCCGGCCAGCAACAGAGGAAATGACCAATGGTATCCTTGAAGGACTTTTCCAAGGACTCGGCTATAGAATCATAGAATGGTCTGGGTTGGAAGGGACCTTAAAAGACCATCCAGTTCCAACTCCCCTGCCATGAGCAGGAACACCTTCCACTAGACCAGGTTGCTCAAAGCCTCATCCAACCTGGCCTTGAACACTTCCAGGGATGTGGCATCCACAACTTTTTTTGGGCAACCTGTTCCAAGTGTCTCATCACCCTCACAGGAAATAATTTCTTCCCAAGTACATAATTTCTTCCTATTTTCAGATATTTTCTCCTTCCATTTCACAAAAAAGAATACAAAAATAAAGGACACTGGAAGTAGAAAAGCATTAGAATAAACAGTTGAAGTGCTGTGATGCCTCACCAGTGCCTGAGACACAATAAGTGATTTATTTGCATCCTTCCCTGCTCAAATTGCAAACATGCCATATCTGCTATATTAATGGCTTTATTCCATAAAGACAACTAGTTCTTAGGTGAGAAAAATAAATATTTCCCACATACATGTATTTGGAAACACCCACATACCAATATCCTGAAAATACAACTAGCCAGACTGAGCCCTTTTAAATATATACACCTCATTTCCACGTCCACTGGCAGCATACAGCAGTCACTGGGTAAAATCATTCAAGCCAGGCTATGTAGGAACTTGGAACTGGTAACAGAAGCTCAGAAGGGAACATCAGAGAGTATGAACTGAACTTGCACTCCTAAACTCCATTAGTCATTCAAAATGGGTACAATCAATCTTTTCTGTCCCTTCTTGTCCACTTGCTCACTCCCCTTACCCACCAATACCAGCCTGTCTAGTCACCATCACATACATCTCTCTCTTTCTCCCTGAAGCTCTTTACCACACTAGTGTCTCACTCAAATCCTTTCTGGTATTTTGCCTGGGAGAACTGGGCTGGGGAGAAAGGAGGCTTTTGTAAAGGTAACATTAAGGTGCAATTACGCCTTATGAAGGGATAAGGAAGAAGTGAAATTATCATTTCAGCTCCTTCCCTGCCCAATTCTTATTTCGCACCCAATCATGGACTTGGATCTTGTTGCTGTCACATGGTCTCCATCAGAGACCAACAGCAGGAAACTCTGATGTGAGTGGGACCTCCCTGATAGCAAAGGAAAGAGCTTGAGAGACGGCTCCACAGCGAGGGGAAGCGTTGCCCACCAGCACCCGCAGGGACCTGGGGCCCTTTCAAGGCTGAGCTGCTCACCAGAGGCTGCCAGCTCTGACCAGAGCAGCACAATGAGCAGGCATTCATCCCCATGTCATCTCTGTACGTCTGTGAGATGCCTGCTGATGCCTGGGTGTCCAAAGAGAGATGGCTAATTAGTGTTACAGACACTAACACCAGCCCCAGTTTGGAAGCACGTGCCCCATTACACGCTGCTTTCAAGCATCCATGCCATGGCTCACGTGCTGAGGCTTCCAGGTTTCAACATTTCAAATTAAAAAGCTGCTAGAGGAAAGATTTATTTCTGACTTGAGAAACTGGGAATTGTCTCACTAAACCAAGCCCCTGGGGACAGCGTGTCCTGCACTGCGGCCACAGTCACACCCCTCAGAAGACACACACAGACCCTGCGGCTTCACTCTAACCCTGTATAAAGCGTAACTCAAACCCCAGCGCTTCCAAAACACTGTTAGCACTCGTGTTATAATCCAGAGACTTGTTTCACATACGATGATCTAACACCTTCTTAAATCTTGAAAACTTCTTGGCCTTGAACACTATTAATTTCAGTTTCATTGAGAGTCCCCAGGCTCCTTGGTGCAAGAGGAACTGAAAAGCTCCTACTCCACTTACTCTGCACCATGCTTGGTCCTACACGAGGTATGTCACATAGTGCACAACCTGAGTTTAATGAACTGAAAAGTGAATGTTTACAAAAATGGAAGTGAAAATGTTTAACCGCCCTTCCTAACAGCAACAGGCAGAAACAGGAAAGCAGAACAGGAAAAACCAGGAAAGGTCAGCAAAAATGGAAGTGGGGTGAGTGTCTACCACCACTCGTGCCTTTTCTCTTCCATCCCACACACCTTCTCCTTTTCGGGCTGCAAGCTCTCCTGTTTTCCCAGCTACTCACACAGCCTCTCACAGGACAGTCATACATACTAAGAAAACAAATTTTCCTGCATTATAGAGTCATACTGTGAGCATTTTAGAGACAATTAACATTGTACATGTTGAAATTAGTCCACAACCACAACCTTTTGTTCAATAAAAATTAACTGTAATAATTTATGCTTAGTTCAGTAATTGCAAAAAGATGCATGTTCCTTATACTCCCCTAACAGCTGCACACAATTATTTATATAAAAAATATTATTAATAAAGCAAATTTATTTTCTGAAAATTGCATGAATTTTTCACACTGAGCTATATTTTCTATGTAATTTGACTACTGCTGATTTCCAATTTCCTTTGTGTCTTAAGGCTATTACTTCACCTGTGAATTGTTCAAAACTAGACCTCAAACTGAGGAGATGCAGAGCACGTGCTGGAATGATTTGACAAGTCAGGAAAATCCTGCCTGGACTGGACCACACTGCCAGCACCATCTGTGGGGCTCCATGGGGAGAGAGGACGGAGCAAGGCAGTCCCCAGGCTGCATTTCTCAGGTAAGCTGTGCCAGAGCTCACAGGGGTGGCCACAACAGCCAGGTTGCCATTTCACACCCTCTTAAAGGTGGAAAGCAAGGGAAGGTTCCTGATAAGCGTCATTAACTCAGAAGCTCCGTGTAGAACAGGGCATCATACGTTTTCCTGCACAGCAACCTGTAGGCAACTCCGTGACACCAACCCGATTCTAGTCCAGTTGCTGACAGTTTTTACAAAGAGGAAGAAAAAAAAAAAAAAAAGTATTTTCCCTGAACTCCTAATTATTACAAAATTGCATGTCTCTGTATTCTTCAGAACTAAGGCCTTTTATTGTGTTTTGCATCACCATTCAAATTTAGGAATAAACCGCATACATTGAGCCATGATGCATTCTTGACTGCAGTATCCCAGCAGTTTACAACATTCGATCTAAACACACAAAACACTTGAAAAATGTTATTGCTGATGATGGAATAGCTCCATCTTCTGGAATAAAAGTTACTTTCTTGACAACCATCTTTATATTTCCAACACAGACCTATGTGTAAAAATTTATACTTCAAAACCTAACATGAATATTTTTACTGATATGGAAGGTGAATCTTGGGAAGAAAATGGGAGAAATTTAGGATAATAATGTAATTTCTGATAAACTTCAAGGAGCATTCATTATTTTCTAATGACACTGAAAATGCACATCCGTTGTATAGCATGCCGTATTAAAAACTGACATTATTTAATAAATAGCTGTAATCTGATTTTTGAGAACAAGAATTTAAACTCTGATTAAGACAGAACACTCAACATACACATACTTAACTTAGTCCTGATTTAGGGTACTTTAAGCTTCACGATAGAAGTTTGTAGTGTTACAAAAGTATGCTTGTGGTTAAACACGGTCCTAAACAGGGAGTGATTAAAGCCCCTGCTGAAGTACTTGAAGTCTGAACTACAGAGAAGGGGCTACAAGTGATCCTCATTCCTATTTATAAAAACCCTGAAGGGTATGTTTAAATGAAATACTTCAAGTTAAGCACGATGCATTTTAGGCAGGTAATTAGTAACGATGATTCCCATATGTAAAATTTAACTTATAGTCAAGTCAGGTATTTAGCTGGAAAGGCCAGAATAAAACTATTTCTGATTTAATCTCTTTTATGTACCACGGGCACAATCTATGGCTGTTGCTTGAAAAAAAAAAAACCAAGCATTAATGAACTAAGTTCTTACATACTTACTCAGAAAGGAAAAGAGCATTGAAGCTGTGATCTACTGACTGATGCTGCATAGTATTTCTTGATTTCACAGGAAGGGTAGAGCCACCAGAAAAAAATGAAAAATTAAACATGTACTTCTCCATCTACTTTTCAAATAGTGGTATATCTAAAGTTAACACATACTCATGGACACACAAGAATAGTAGAAATTTAAATAAACTTGCTTAACAAAACAAAGCAACTGAAGCTTTATTTCTCTATATAGAAAGAGGTGTCCCTATGTGCATTCTTTTAAGCTAAAGAAAATGAAAAAGCCATGCAGCCCTTGCATGAAGTAAATCCTAAGGTGGTAATATATGTACACAGAAAGTTTCCCCTTTAGTAGATGACTCCTCTCAGCAGATGCTTAGTGTCATTTAGGAGAGCCAAACTTATGATTACTTCGTAGTAGAATATTCTACTACATTTTCTTTCAGTACAATAGCAAAACCATTGCATGAACCACCATATTGTTCACAATAGTTAAACAAGAGCAAGTAATAAAACTTAAGCAGCTAAACGTAGATCTGGAAGTCAAGACTCCTTATGCAATGCACAATGAAAGGATACAGAAAAAATGAAAGGACTTCAAAAAAATTACCTTTCAACTTTCTGCAACTACACATGTCATATGGCTTTTCAGTGGAGGCATTAAGTTAAAAGAATTTTCCCACCCATAGTCAAGTATTGACTGTATTTAAATACAGCAATGCAAGGACAAACAAAAGTTAAAAATTTAGCATACTGTATTACTTTTTGTAATACAGCATTAAAATCCCTTTTGCTAAGGCTACAAAGGACAGATTTACAGTAATATGAGGTACTGGCATTTGCGGTCAGAAAAAGTAAAGGAGGAAAAGAATTACATAGCATTGTCATCAGACTTTTTTTTCTTTTTTTTTTTCTTTTTTTTTTTTTTTACAAAATACATGTCTTGATGACCACATGCTTTAAGCTTATATTCACTTATTTTTTCTATTTTTTTTTTTTTTTAATTAATTGTAGGGGCAATTGAGAGAGAGTCACAAATAAGGAAAGGACACTAAGGTTTTAATAAGGGCAACAAAAAAAATGTTTTCACCAGAATAGATTCACATTACAGTACACCAATATTGACAGCATTCTCTTTTGTCTATTTTTGGTACATAAGATGGAATCTCTCTACATAACCTTATAAGGCTCCAGTAACTAAAAAGTAAAAAACCTATTAGTTTACAATTTATTTAAAAATTCTGAAAGACACAGCAAGTTCTAAACTTTAGTAGTGCTACCCATACACAACCATCTGGTTTAAGAACCCATTAAAAGAGCCTCCTTTCAAGGGAGCTTCCAATAGCAGAGTTGTGCAATATGGATGTCTCTAACTACAAGGGGGGGGCAAAAAAAATACACATGGCACATTCTCATTCATATTTTGCAATGTAAAAAGTTACAAACATATCTAATCAAATAAATAATAAAAAAAAGAATCTGAAATGTGTTTGTTATGTATACTAAAACCACTATGCAGAATAATGGAAACTTTCACTCACAGATTATTTACATGGTAATACCCAGGTGTGGGTACACATTGCTACAAAACTCATAAAACAAAGGGTAAACTTGAAATGTTTTCCATAGTAAAGGTCTAGCAGCATGACTATATCTAATGCTGTTTGTTTTCTTGACAGTTTTTGGAAGTTTGTTTTAATCTATGTCTTCATCCAGTTCATAATTGTCTTTATCATAAATATCTTTTACTAAAAGAACCCGTACGAGCATATTTTCCAAAGTGTTGCGGTCCAGTGACGTAGCAGTGTACCAGATGGGACTCTCTGCGGAGACTGAGCACTCTGGTTGCAGGTAAAACACGTCTGTCCTCTGATTCAGATTCTGTGGGCTACAAGGGGGGAAAAAACACAGGGTGTTAGAAAAACAGCCACACAGAACAAAACAGTATGTTAGCACTTCTGACATCCCCCGTAAACAAAACCCTAACCATACTTAGGCAAGTCACAAAAAGAAGATTAACGTGCAGAAACGTGGGTCTTGTTCAGAGAAGGAGCTGTGCTGGGACTGGCCCAAGCCCAGCCAGTCCCACATCCTCAGAGTGGCCAAAAGCAGACACCTGGGACTGAGCAAGCATACAGGAGACCACAGACTCTTCCAGCTTTCTAAAATCTGCAGCTCCAGGACTTGCTAAACCAGAAAGTACTTTCTATCTGTTTAGGAACCCCTGACTGACACATTTGCACAGAGGCCCAAGACTGACATCAGTAATTACTTGCACCACAGCTTGATGCAGCTATCTCTGAATATAGAGATAGCTTGGGGTTTCCCAGAAGTCAAGGGCAGCAGTTCTGAGAGATGCACAGAAATACAAGCAGCTAAAATTCCTCCTCCTCCTATTTTACTTGGGGTTGGTCACTATAAGTCTTAAAATCCTTTAATTTCTGACCTGCTATACTTTGGAGTTCATATACATGCTTGATCCAGCTCAGATCCAGCTCTAAGCCACTAGAGAAGAACCCTCAAGGAAATTCTAGGATTTTGTCCATTTAGGCAAGTCTCAGAAAATAATTTTCAATCCTGCATGCTCACTCATGCTCCCTCCTTCATAAATATTTCATGTCTGTTTGGTAAAAATAAGAATTTTTACCAGCTTGTCTTCCTAAACTAGCTGATAAAGTTTCAAGTGTTCTCTTTTTACCCACTGGGGTGAACGTTGGCTTGTTCTACTCTCACATAAATCAGATTAAGAGTCAGATAAAAGGTCAAAATATGATGGTTTAAAATACTCTATTAATTTAAATATTTTAACCTCCTTCCTACTTTTTTTGACAGGGCAGTATTTTTATAGAAACAAGCAATGATTTAGTGCTCAGAGATATGAATGACAGGATCCTGAAATTTCAGCTGCAACTGTCCACAGATTGCCAAGTGTATTTCAAACAGCTGGCATTACCTTAAATTTTATAATAGATTTTAAAGTGTTACAATATTTTATTAAAATTATTTCATCAAAGATGTGAGGTATATACTATTAGAAGTGGAACCAAGAGAAGCAGGCTGCTGCTCTAGTCAGCAATGGTAACCAGTATCTGTAAAACAGTAGCACTTGAAACCTCACCATAAACAATGCTTCAAACGGGTTTAAGAGCATTCTTTTCCCCCAAAGTTGAGATGTTTGCAAAGAAAAATAACTTGTCTGCTCCACTCTACTGGCTGTGTAACTCAGTTCAAAAATCCAGCTTCAAGTTTTAATGACATACCCTCTCCAGACCAGGACAGTGGATAGGGTGAAGGCAAACACCTCCCATGCCGTGTCTCCCGCCTCCCCCATAACAATCAGAATTAAATGAGTTTATAAAACACAGGTGCTTGCATTAACAGACCACAAGTTACTCTTCAAGTGCTTCTCTCTGTAACGTCACATACGCTTCTTCTGCCTACATTGTGCATAAGCTCTTTCTTCACTTTTAAGAATAAGGTGCTGTTTACCAACACATGTTGGGTCTCATACTTCATTTGATTTATTGTGTTGTATATACAATGTGATTTTATTTCTTTGGTATCACTTGCCTCTATTTCACTTAGAGTTACATAAAATCTCAATTAAAATCGTCTGCTTGAATGGCTGTTCCAATTAAAGAAAAGTAGAAAAGTATTTCCCATCAAATCCTATTTTCAAACACCTCCAAACACTTAGCTGATAAATTTTTTGTTGTTTTGTTTTTGTGGGGTTTTTTTTTTAAGAGTTGCCTAAGTTTTTCTTTTTAATGTATTTATTTCCATGCAGATTGGATGGAAACAAGCTATTTCTAAATGCTGGGTTACTGTAAGAAGTATGTTTTTCTACTACAAAATATTTTAAACATGCTTTCAAACTACTTATGTCAAAAGCATCTACATTTCAAACTCCTGAAAATTTAACATTAAGCAAATAGATTGTCTCAATCCAATTCTTACTGAAGAGACAGGGACCTCACAAATGAAATTCTCAGTAGCAAAACCTACCAGGTCTCTTGCTGGTAATTCTCCGCAGAAATACTTGGTGTTTCCCAGTAGGAAAATTGAATCATACTGTCATTCCCAGATGGAGTCCTTGACAATTAACATTGAAGTACTCTGCTGCTCCCACATTTTCTGCACATCTTGTCCAGATACAGAACTGGAGATTACAATGCTTTCATTCAGCTATTTTTCAGAAGATTTTGATTCATTCCCTTTGGTTGAGAATGTTTCATGTTGCATCAAAACATTTCTCTTTTGCACCTGGTCTACTCTAGACTACTTCTGTATTACCCCATATCACACTCACCTTTTAGACAGATAGCACTCAAACATTTTCACAGGGCACCTAGCTGGATCAGACGTGTTTTCCATCTGTTCAAATACTGGCTCATCATCTTCATGTTTCCTTTTTCCAGTAGTAATTTTATCTTTAAGAGGAAAATCAACATCTAAGCCATAATTTTACATTTTACAGTCATTTTACATTTTTCAGTAAACACCCCAGAGTGGGCAATCCACCAAGCACTGCAATGCAGTCACCACAGCTATGTGTATCTGCAAAATGGAAATGCAACCCAGAGCCACAACAAAGTCGCAGATTTTAGTATGGAGACCAGTGGGCTCAAAGGGATCATTTAACACAGAGACCCTACAGCCTCCATGGACCACGCTCTCTGATTAAAGATCTGGGTGCCGAGAGCCACTAAACTTTATGCAAAGGCAGACCTGTGGCTCCTGGCAAGGTGCCCAGATGTCCCTCAGAGGAGCGCAATGTGAATGCTCCCGTGATACTTATTTTGGAACTGCCACGGTACCTTCACTATCAGCTCTGCACAGGGAAGACACTTGATATCGAAGACAAGCTTTGCTTTCCATTGTTAGAGGATTTTTTTTCCACTGTCTAAAAACAGTGCCAAAAGAAAGTCTTAAGTGCTGTTCCACTGTTTTCAGGCCAAAATATTTAGTGTTAAAGTAGAACAGAGTATTCAGAAGAGCAACCGGTGAATGCGATCCTAGCTGTTTAATCCTCCAAAGGTAATCTTCTTCAACTCGAGAGAATATTGATCCTTCAAAAAAAGAATATTAGAGAAGATATAAGGGATTAGCCCATAAACTGTCCAGATGAAAAAGAATCAAGTTTCTGTGTACTGTAAAATTTAACAAAATACTCATGACAGAAGCCTCTAATAAACATATTTAATTATACATCCGAACCCCAAAACCACCTTTTAAAGACACAGATGCCCACTGTTTCAGGAAGAGACAGTCAATGGGAAATATCAATATATGCAATTTCACACAGAATACATTTCTGTTTAATGACAACAGCATGGCTTACATGCGGCTCCCTCATGTTATTACAGAAAAATAAATGTTCAAAGGGATAATCTTAATCCTTGCATAAAAAGCATTTTTGAGTTCATTATATTCTGCTCAGGCAAAGCCTCCAAATAGCTATACCTTCTTCTTTCTTATTACTAATGGATATCTCACTTGGAAAGCACTCCTGGACCATATCAGGATATAGGGAGGGTCCTATAAAGAGGCTCTCCAGAGCTATGCTGAGAAGAGGCAATATCAAGAAGAGAGGAAAGGGGCTGGTAAGGACAAGTCTTCATTCAAGAGAAGATTGTGAGAAAGATGGAAGAACAGTGGATTCTGCAGTTCAGCACCAACATGGAGCTGCTGGAGAAATTTTCTTTTTTCTCCATGAACTGAAGATCCTCCTGAGCAGAAGGCCCATTGCAAAGAATCCCCCAATCCAGCTGAGAAAGAGTGAAACAGGTAGCTCATTAGACCTACCCACACATAGCCTGCCTGCCTACTTCCCACCTGGGGAAAAAAAATGGGCAAAAAATAAATCCAGCTCAGGTAAAAAGTACAAGTCAAAGAGCAGCTGCTTATTCTGACTTTCTCTCCTAAAAATGGATAGTCAATTTAAGATTAACAGGTGGTGGCAAAATCAAGTCTTGCAGCATGGATTACCAAGAAACTAGACAATAAGAACAGGTACAGTCTTAATTGAACTCTTAGAGGAGATCTTTATGATTTTTAATCAATTACTACTGCAACGCATAAGATGTTTGAATGCACCTACATGCTTAACAATATAGAACTATTAAGAGATGAAAAACATACATGACCAAAAAGAAAATTACCATCTGGAAGTATGCTTGGTTGCCAACTTCTAAGGATTTTATTTAATTCCTGTTCAAACGTCTGGTAGATTGGATCAATAAATATGTTGTCTTTTCGATTACTTCCATATAAATACTACAGAAAACAGAGAGAGACATGGCATTTAGAATTCCAGATTAGAACAAATCCTGTGCTATAGGGTTATTTTTCAGTACAATATTTGCACTTTCATTAAAAAAAAAAAAAATCTAAAAAATAAAGCAACGACACTTTTCCAATATTTAGCAGTTAAAATTTTCTAACTGGATACGAATCATAGATTAATTACAACTCTAACATTTTTCTCTTAAATTTCTTAAGTACAACATTGTATTAGTGAATGGGGAGTAATGAAAAACAAAACAAAACCTAACCAAACAAAAACCCCCAACATTTAGCAAGAACCTGCCATTTTAAATGTGAATTTTGGACACCGAAAAAAGCACCTTCATCACAGAAGTGGGAGCAAAATAACCCCATATATTTGTGGTAGTGATATGCAGCAGTGCAAGAAAAGTGACAGGATGGTGCAACACACCTGCCTATTCTGCAATCTATCTTAACCCTCTTGACCTTACAGACAGAAACTCTTTTGCACCTTTACCGAGAATTAATGGCTGAGGGCTATACTGGTATTTGACATTATCTATTTGACATTATCTTCTCTGGAGACATTTCTAAGAAACGGAGGACTGCCTTCTTAAATTTTCCACTTCAGTGTTATCTTTGCACGAACAAGCCTAATGTTAGTGAATACAAAAAAGTGACAGACAAAAAAAAAAAAATGTGCTCACTTCTAGAAATGGCATCTATTTCTGTACACATACATTAAACACAGCACTCATCTATACTAGGCAGTTCAGCATATCTTGACTTCCTTATTTTTATAATAAGGAAAAATGAATGAATACACTTCCTAGGAGTCCTGAACACATAATCTTAATTTAGATAGTTAAATGTATTGTATAAAATAGTTAATACTTCAAAGCATAATATTCCCCTAAATGTGCTTGTTTCTACATATATTAGTTTTGATTTTATAAAGCAATTCTAAACCAGACAATACAGCTTACTACAAACTTCATGGAGTTTGCCCATCTGTTCCCTGGCACATTTCTCCTCTATGAATTTTCTTTTTCTCTGGTTTGTATTAAACACTTACACTGAACACTGGTAGCAAAACTGAAATCAGACTGAAAAATGGTTCAAAACCAATTCCCACACAAGCCTGAGAACTCAGTTAAAAATATTTGTTTCCCAGTTCAGAATAAGTGTTTGGCTAAACCCTGACATCCCCACTAGAAACCTGTGAGGTCTACAGAAAAATGATGTTGTGGTGCAGTCTCCCCCCACTATACAACACCCAATGCACATCTGCAAACCTTCATTTCCATAACATAACTCTCTGCTCTGCTACTCTATATAAACTCTAGAGGGGGCAGGATCAGCATAAGCAGTTTCCACCTGAGATGAGCTCTGTTGAAATCACAGTGAACAGGAAGGAACTAGACATGTCTCTGAGTCCCACAGTGGGAAAAGGCTGAATCATTGTCCACAGCACCTTCAGACACACATCTGCCAAGCTCCACCAGCTTGAATTTTGCCCAAAAAACTCCATTATGACATGTGCAAAAAACCAAACAAAAAAACCCCAACAAAAAAGCCCCAATCTGTACTGGGATAAAGAATGAAGACCACAATGCAGCAGGGAAGCAAGGCAAGATAGCACCTTGTAGATGAACGCTCTTCACTAGATGCCCACCTGACCATGCAACAACCTTTACTTTTAAGTGTGATATTTTTCAGGATCATTACTTCAGAGTTATCAAACCCATTACTGAACCATTTCTGTCTAGAAGCAGAACAATTTCAGCTGCAAATGAACCTGAACTCCAAAAATGTACCACTTGACGCGGGGACTAGTTTGCTGGAATGGATTTTCCAAGTGCTTTCTTCAAGAAAAAACAGTTATTTTACAAAGTCAAAAAACCAACTTAAGACTTGAAGACTCCTGAGCACTTCCTCTGTGCTCAAACCATGTTATACACATGCATAAACTCTCCAACCTAAGCCCGTATGTAGCTACAGTGAGTGTAGTAATTGTGGCGGAGGAGGAAGTGCTTTTTTTTCCAACCTACGGCTTCCACATTCTCTTCCTTTGAAGAAGGAATTCTAAGTTAGCAAAATACTGCCAATCCTTGGCACGACTTTATCCTCAAATGGCACCACTTAATCTCCTCCAAGTCCCTTCTGAATTCAACAGAGCCAATACCTTTTATGCAGTAGCAGACCATTTATTATTTTTCATGTAGGGGCTGGCAGATGGAGAGAAAATACTAGAAGGCAATGGAGTATTGTTCCACATTGCAACAATAACATTGCATTTAGCGTACCACTACCTTGTTTAATCCTGTTTCTTCAGAAGGGTAACACATAGCCATACACTTACAATTTGGTATTAGTACGCAGACATCAGCTGAAACCCTTGACGGCTCACATGCTCACAGACCTTATCACTCCCTACAACTACCTGAAAAGAAGGTGTAGAGAGGTGGGGGTTGGTCTGTTCAACCAAGAGGAAACGGCCTCAAGTTGCACCAGGGGAGGCTTAGATTGAATATTAGGAAGAATTTCTTTACTGAAAGGGTTCTCGGGCATTGGAATGGGTTGCCCAGGGCAGTGGTGGAGTCCCCATCCCTGGAGGTATTTCAGAGTTGTGTAGAAATAGTGCTGAAGGGCATGTAGATGAAACATGTCTTGTAGTCCCTGACAAGTTTCATTAAACAGACTAAAAACACGGTTATAAGGTGGACCAAAGAACATGTAAGCACATGGCTTTTGCACCTGATTTCACAAGATCTGCAGAAGCAGTTTATGGCCTGGCATGCTGACTTATCAGCAAATGAGCATCGTGGAAGCCCTCTGCAAACTTTTTTCTATAGGTGCTGTCTGCCTCAGGTATATGGTCCTTTTTCAGCATCAGTTTTGTATGCTGAAGAATGCTGTCTCCCATATTGGGACTTGTCAGTGTTCAGTTAATGATTGGACTCAATGATCTTAAAGGTCTTGTCCAGTCTAGGCAATTCTGTGATTCTATGTTTCTGTCCCTCAGTTGCTGTCTGCCTTTATGAAATGCAAACTCCTCAGAACAGGGCACATCTTCCTACCAATCTGAATAGCAGTGATACAACTGGGCCAATGAAACGGGGCTGTTAACATCACCTGAATTAAATACTGAATGTTAAGTATAAGCAATAATTACAGTAAAATGACCACAAGTTGTTCCTCTTATATTCCAGCATTGTGTATGTGTATTAGAGCTCATGATAATTGTGTTATGCCACACAAACTTTGGTTCTGATGAGTTTAAAAAAAAAAAAAGCTTTACATATAAGTAGCTTTTACAGTAGACAAAACAGACAATGTCAAAGCCACAAAGAGAAAGGTGAAAAAAATAAATATTAGTTCAGTTCCATTTTATAAACACATACCTCACTCTGTGTATTGTTTATGAGCTTAATATCAGTATTTTCAATTCAACAGAAAGATACAGAGAGACAGTATATCATGCAAGTGCAGAAGCAGAAAAGGTAGCTGAATTTGAAACATGCTTTGTAGCAACATTGACTAAAATGCCAAACAACAAATGCTCGCTTCTTAAATTTCAACCACGAGGTAAAGATATCAACTAACTCCTTAATTTTGCAATACAGAAAAATTAGTGGAGGTACTATTTATTTTTTAAATATTTTTATTTAAAAATTTGTTATTTGATTCAAGTCCTCTGCCTTAAGTATGAAACGGTTTAAGCAGGATTACAAAGCCTGTGAACAGCTTGCTTTCCACATCATATGCATTTTTAATTGCCTTTTAACTTGAATGGAATTTTCTGTGTTCTCAGCTCTGAACAGTTTATTTTATCTATGATTTGCCTTACATATCAAAAAGTAAGACAACCTCTGCTTAAAAGATAAGCTGTGGAAAAGCTTTTCTAATTATCTAGTGATATGTTATTGCCTGCACATTTGATACATCTGAACTGACTCCCTTTATCTCTGGAATACAATGTAATTACAATTCGGGGGCAAGGTGTGTGCCTAAGACCATCAATAAAGCAGAGGTTCCTGCACTCTACAAAAAGCCTGACTGCCCACAGCCTGCAATACTCAGTAAACTAGGCTCTCCCAGAAAGACAATTCCAATAGCTTGTTTCCACTATATGCTAAGTAACTGAATTAGTAAAACATTTACCGATCATGCCTTGTTTCATTCTGTTTTTACATAAAGCCATCTTTAGCAAACAAAATGAGGCACAGCATTTGGAAAAACTATGTCATTTTAGACTGCAAATTCCTCACTTTAACCCAGAAAGAAGCTTAAAATTATTACAATATACCAGTTTGCATTTGAGTTTTCAGGATGGGTCTGTAAACTCATTTTCTATACAGACAGCTTTCTACAGTGTGATTTACACAGCAGCCTCTCTGTGTTCCAGATGATAGCCATTATATTAAGAATAGCTCCTAGCCAATAAATGCATATCATCTCCATTCTTCCTCTGAAATGGGTTGCAGTCAAATCAGCAGCTCCGATTCCCATCTCTACAGCCTCTACTAACCTCCTGAATCCCAAGACACAGATAATAGATGCTGTCAGGTGCATAGTTCTCTCCATTTGGCCTTCGAATTTCATTGACAAAATGTGTCAACCCATAGTTTAACTCAGCTGAAGTATGTGATAATAGATCTTCCTTTAATTTCACAGACTTTGCTGTAAAATAGAGAAAAAAATGCTACATTATACAACAGAATTATTACACGGTGAAGGTGGGATGGGTTATTTTTGTACTGAAAAGTGGGAAATGGTCTTGATGTCCTCTCCACTAACCAACGAACAAGTCTAAATGTACTAAATAGTTCAAATGTTGGGTCTGTACTGAAATAAAAAAGGCTACCAGAGTAAGGTCTAGTTAACCAAATGCAGTATCACACACTGATGAATGTACTGTCATGAACAGCTGAGGATGACACAGAAGTGGCCCAAGAGGCTGAAGTGAAGACAGTGCAGTAGAGGGAGACCTTCAGGGGAAACGGCAGTTTCCAAAGATCCAACAACATAACGCAAGGGTGCTAAGTCACATGTGGGAGCTGAAGAACAGCAGGAGCAGCAGCAGTCCCCCTTTTCCCCTCACAGTACAAACGTACACACAGAGGAGCGTTGCAGAAAGAGCAGCAAGGCTCCACAGGAGTGAAGGCCACCTTGTGTCAGAGCTCCACAACCAGGAGTAATGCCGGCCTCAGATGAAGATCTCTTTCCAGGACAAAGAGTAGGATGCCCCTCCCTTGCAATTTAGAAGTCCAGAAAAGGTGTGAATTCCAAGGTGAGTTAGAATATGAGGAAAAATAGGATGCAAACAAAAAAATCAAAATGGTCATGGAAAGTCAGAAGAACCAGGAAGGTGCTGTCCTGGTTTGCATGAGCTGTGTGAGACGCAGCATTTAGAATCAAGTAAGGAAAACTAGGAAAAAAAAAAAAAAAGTTTGGCAACTCTGGGGTAAAATAATCCAAATCATTGTGGGAACATCAGGGACATATGAAAACTTCTATTAAAAATTCCATCTGAAAATCAGACAAGTACAGCAATTGTCCCAACCAAAAAGAATTGGGATGCCAGATTTTTAGAAATACTTACTTGATTTCAGCTCCTTTAATTCTGGAAGCTCTTCATCTAAATGCCGAGACTTTACCCAGTGCTTCCACGCATTTACACCATACGTGTATTTGAATGGAAAACTACACTCTGAGTTTTCAGAGCTGTCATCACGAGACTGGTATTCTGACACCGCCTTCCTCTTCACCCCCTGCCATGGAAACACAGTGGTTAACACCGATGACAGCCGCTAACAGCAACAACAGAAGCTGAGCAGAACAAGCAAGCTGCAGGCCAAATTACAAACTGAATGTTCAATGTAAAGAAACAAATACTCCATTCAGTAGGTAGCTTATGTGTTGAACATACTTCCAAGGACAGCATTTACTTAAGCTGACAGATGTTTCTAATTCGCTTTTCAAACTGGTTCCTAAGACAGAATAATTTTTGATAACGGAATTGCTGTATTGGTTCTATCGTACTAAACAACAAACATATGATGCACTAAATTCAGTGTACTTACAGGATTTCATAGAATCATAGAATGGTATGGGTTGGAAGGGACCTTAAAGATCATCTAGTTTCAACATTTCATTGTGTTAATGTGCAGGAAGTTAAAGATGCTACAAATCTATGTCAGAAGGTCGATTTTTAGGCTCAGCTGAACCCATCAATGGAAAAGCCAGCATTGCTAGAAAATTAAAGCATGTCCAGCAGTGGATATATGGATAATGTCCAGTGGATAATACGGTCAGTTTAGACTCCAAATTTAAAACTAGAAAGACACATTTATTCTTAAAAAGTTTTATTAGAAGTTGGCTGTTTTTTTAAAAACTGCAGTATCTACTGCAGTTATAGGAACAAAAACCATTCCAGCTTTGTGCCAGGCACCAGAAACTATTTCCTGTTAGTTTCCTTCTAAAGAAAAGAATATGGCTCATTTATTTGCTATGTCGAAAGTTAGATTTTTGACTGAAAATAAAATCTGGGAAAATTACAAACAAATAAAAATGTTTTTATATAAGAGATGTTATAGCTCCCATTATAAGCCATAGTAATGCCAACATTCTTCAGTTTTACTGTCAAATTGAACCAAGACAGCTTTGCTCAAAGTAGAAGGTAGAAAAGCATTACTATGAGTACAGTAGGTATATACACACTAGCACATTACACCAACAGTTCTACCAATGTGAAGTAAAAACGGGATCAGAATTTAGAAGTCACACTTCTATTAAATCCAACAGTTAACTGCAACATAGGACTGAAATTATTTTTTTATTTGAAATGCATCAGTTTACATGATAAAGATAGGATATTAGGTATGAATAGGCAGTAATATATTTTAGAGCAGCATGAGAATTTAAATTTTGTGCTTTTTTGATGTTTTTAATAGCATGACAAAATTACCTTCTTTTTGGACCGAGGCCTTGGCTGTTCCTCATATTCTTCCCCAAAAACAGGAGGTAACAAAAACTCATTTTCTGTATCAAGCTCCTCAGTTGCTGAAAAGGCATTAACAGAAACTTATTTCTAAACATCTTTTGAATAATATTGGTTTGAAAAAAACAATTAACCATATCAGTGCACTATATGTGCATTAATATAAAGGATTCACAAAACACACATATAAACTTTACCAAAGACTGGATTTTGGTAAGAGGAAATAAATCTATTCTTATTGTGAAAGTAAGGCAAAGCTATCAAAATGTTTATTTCTAAATAAATTGTAAAGGACATAACGCTCAACATTTTCAAGCACTATCTCAAGTCACTATGGCAGCATCTCTTACTATGGACTCTTCCACGTTTTTTCCTGCCTAGTCAGTCCTTGGTATTAAGAAGTTTCAGTTATGGTGAGAATCAACAGCTATGAGTAGAAAAAATACAACTTAACTTACTACCTGCACTTTTGTTCATGTATTCACATTATTTCTACTAATGTTTTATATAGCACATTATACTTGGTTAAAAACATGAAGAACCATTATGTAAGCTCTTTCAGATAAACTGGTTTTAGTCTATATACAAGTGGTGGAGGTCTAGCTCATGATGAATATTTCAGAAAACAGATATATGGTAATATATCAAAATACTATTTACTTAACATTTCCAGGGTAGGATGAAGGACTAATTCAGGCAACACAGTGGAATGAGACAACATATGAATAGATTTAATGTTGCAAGTTCCACCTTTATTTACTTTACTGAATATGGTTCATCCTTCATTGAGCCATCAAACAATGTCTTAATTCAAAACTGAATGCTCTTCTGGGTCTGATTTCACCACCTTGTTACTCAAGACACCGTTCAAATTGGTTCAGATGAAACAGCACTCACTTGCAAAGGTTTAAGAACTCTGTCCCAGACTAAACACCAGTCCTTCTCCTCCTACCATGAAAGATCTTATCTCAGAAGCACTTCAGTGTAATCAGTATCTACTAAAAATGGCTATTATTTACTATTCCATCTTTTTCTTCCATGGTTTTTCTTTCTCATCTACCAAGTCTCACTTATAACAAGGGTTAAAAATCTAGTATGCATCTGGCTAATAAACGTCTTAAGACTAAGGTCAGTCTAATCCCTAGACTTGATCTTTAAATTCGACCTACAGCAAACTGAGAAACCCAGCTGTGCATCCAGTGTGGATATCTATGGCACAAGGAGATTTTCAGCGTCAGGTCCTTGCTTACTGCAGGGGGGGTTGGACTACATGACCTTTAAAGGTCCCTTCCAACCCAAACCATTCTGTGATACTATGATAGAGAAGCTACCCAGGAGAGGTATGAGAGCTCTAAGTCCAAGAGAAGCTATGTCAAGGGAGATACTAGCTTTCTTGGATCTTGGGTTGATTAGGACATGGCATAAGGAAATACACACTGTTGCCTGCATTCTGCAGAGCAGCAGAAACTGTAATACACAAAACCAAGACCTTCTTTCAAGAAAGGTCTCAAAGTAGTGACCTTCCTGCTAAATCAAATAACACTACCTTTTTCAAATACAGGTATGGACGTTACCAAGATACTAAAAGGTAACGCAAGTGATGTGCAGCATCCCAGCTTGCAGTTGGGAAATTTGCCCTTCTTTCATTTCTGCTCTAAATCACCATTTTCTATGGAAATATCTGGTGACTGAAGAATGCATTCATTATTGTTTTCCATGACACGTCATCTGAGTCTTTGAGCCTTCAAAACAGCTTTCCTAAATCCATGTCCAAAAGCAAGTGATACAACCAAGTTCGTTTGTGAAAGGTTAATTCCTCATTTTCTTTGCATTCTGTTTCAAATACTGTATTTAGAAAGACAGGGGAACTAATTCAGAAGTCCCCAGTCTTGCAAAGATGTGGCAAAGTTTTACATAACAGTCAGTCAAGTGGATCTTGCAAACAAATAAAGCTCCTCTGAAAGGATGATGAAACAAAGCATAATGGTTGCCCACGATATCTATTTCATAGTATTCATTTAAATGACAAAAAAAATACCTCTTGGAAAGTCTATTTCAATATCAAGGTCTGGTTCATATGGAACATCAGGCAAGCTTGTCCGTGCCTCTGTTTCCGAGTTTAGTAGATTTGACTCAACTATCACACCTGTTAAAAAAAATAAAAATAATTTAAAAACATAAAAAAAAGCCCAGAAGGAAAAACTCCCATTACTTAACTAACAAATTAGTCAGATTTAGAACATTAGAAGCTGAATGGTTCTAAAGCTGCTTGTTCTGCTCATCACCATCTTAGGTTTGTTGTTCTTGGGATTTCAGATTTACTTCTCCAACTTGATTTCCTTCTAACAGAAAAAAGACTTACGAGCCCACCTGTCCATCTTCATTAAGCTGAGTCAGCAAAGCACATGTATAGAAAAATCAAATATTGGCAAAACTGGATCCTATCAAACAATCACAGAACTCAAATAAGCTTGACAAACCTAACTATCTATTCCTCTAAACAATTCTGCCTGCAACAGGACAGATTTTCAAGTCTCTAACAGAGATCCTAAAAAAGCAAACAAGGCAGGCAGGTAGAGAGAAACAAAAGCTCCATCTCTTTCCAACTTCTGGCAGAGACAGATTTCTCAAAATTCAGTTCTCTGCAAACAAGCAGACACCTACTCATTCAGCTAGCTGTACTTAGCAAAACAGAGCTAGGAACTGCAAATGACAGCCTTGCAGCACTACCACAAATGTTCTGCTTTAGCTGGGGCATGGCAACAGTTTGGAAAACAGTAAGTCTCCTGGGACTACAGTACCACTGGTTTCATGTATACCTGGCCCAAAGTATAAGTTCATGTCATTTATTGACATCCCTTGAGACATCTGTTCAAAGAGCTTGAAAAAAGCACAGTATTTCACCTGAGTCATAGAAAAACCTTAAAATCTAGTTTTTGGAAGAGAAGGCAAATTCTCTTGGGAAGATATAGAAGAGACTTGAGGATTTTGGCAGGCAGTCAGGAAAGAGGGGCAAAGAGGAACGCGCACTGTGAAAATATCATTACAGGTTATGTGGGATTTTGTGACATTCAGCTGTAAAGTTGTCCCAGACAGTTCTCTCCCTTTATTTGAGTTGGTGGGATGACAAACCACTTCAGCATCACAACCCCAATGATCTATGCACTACTATCTTCAAAGAGATGATACTTGCAGGTCAGGATCAATCAAGAGCTAAAGCATCATTAGGTCACCTGGTTTTGTAGACCACAGTTCCATTTATCAAACATACATTCCTCTTAGTTTCAACAGTCCTCACCTTCCCACACTAAACATAAAGTGTGCCTAGCAACGTGTTACTACAAAGAGATCAGATCTCTGTCATACCCCACCTTGCTCAGAGAAAGTTGTGTTCACACCTGTAAAACACAGCTATGGAGTTCACCTTCCCTAAGCTTTTGACTCGAGTTTTTTTGGGAGGAAGAATGGATTGGTTTTGGCTTGTTTTGAGTTATGCTGAGAAGAAAACACATGCATGCAATCCTGGATGGCCGCTTGCCATCAGCCAGGGAGCTGGTGCAAAGTGAAGGCCTGTGTTTTTAAAGACAAAGGTCTGGTCCAGCACACCGAAGTCACAAAAAAGACTTCAGAAAGTTTTCTGTATTTCTAATGTGCTAAAAAGATCTTTAAAAATATTCAAATAATTAATATTTCAACTTAATATAAGATTTCAATAGCACTGTAGTACATAAAGAGTCTTTCCATAAAATAAAAGATCTCCAGCCGTTCTCTTGATTCACACACACCCACACATACACCCCAGCACTCCAAAGAGTAAAAAAACCAGCAGGAAACTCACTGGCCACATCAGAAACTTCAGCTTTTCCATCATGTTCAGGTACCATCCCTGACAAGTTCAGTAGCTCAGTTTCCAGAGGATCTGAGGGCACTTTTCCCCTCAGCTCTTCTATTGCTGCAAGGATTTTCTCACTGCTAGTAGTGGGCAAGAAAACTGGAACTGGCACCTACGCAGACAGGGAGGAAGAGATAATTGGAAAAGAAAAAATGCTGCAACAAAGCATCAATAACAGTCAACAGAGAAACAAACTTTACACCCCTCTTCTAAAAGACAGAGTTAATACGAATTAGAAGCATATCAATTCAGTGTGGGCTAACAAAAAAATGTTGATAGGTTAAAAAATTAAATAAAAATAACTGAGAACAGAAGGGAAAGCAGGAAAGGATACAGAAAAAAATAAGTATGACAAAACATAGTGGGTCAAAGTAAGAACCGAAAGGACTTTGGAGCTTCAAACTTGTCTAACTATAACTTCAGACTAACAGTTTGGACAAATCAGCATCCTCTTTTCGTGGCTTACTTGTGAAACACAATTTCAGGAATTCAGGTGTTTTTTCCCCACCATTTGGGTGAGATTTGGTACATAAGTGCTAAAAGATTTAACTTAGAGTTCTTTTCTTTTGCTGGCACAAGGTTTGGGTTTTTTGCTTCTATTCCTTCTGTTTATCCCACCTCCCAACATAATCTTTCAGTTTCCCCATTACCAGAACAAATCTTTCTGTTTAATGCTTATTCAGCAAACCCAAAACTATCACTCAGAATTGTTCTAAAGTGTTCAGCAGCACAAGATTTTCACACTGAAAGCATGCAGATAGGTCCTAAAGAACAACCAGGAAATGAAGCGCCAGTGTCAGATTTCTAATGCTTTTTCAATAAATAGTGCCCCAGCATCCCACAATCCTTTACATGGACCAGAATGAGAACAGCCAACAATACAAAGTGGTCCCACACGTGCATGTGAATGGATGGCAATTTAAAAAATGAAGCTGAAGCCCCACTTACAGGAACAGGAACCGTTGTAGGAACAGGAACATTTTGACTATACATGTTCATAGGCACCGGAACATAGACAGGTACAGGAATAGGCACTGGGACATATTCTTTTTTCCAATCATCTTCTATTAAAAGAAAAAAGAAAAAGGCAAACACTGCCAGGTACTTAAATATATTTTACACCTGTAGTTTAGAGAAAAAAAATCAGAGTATTTGCAATATGTTCCAAGACAGTAACAGTTGAAAAAAATCTGCAATGAAGAAATAAGTAGTTCCAGTACAGTTCAAGAGTTACCTGTCTGACAAGATTTTGTCTGCATATGAGGTTTACAGTATGTGGCTTTCGTCATTGTCAAAGGCTTGCAAAGAACTGCTTTGTTCTTCATTTCTCTGTTAGGTGTTGGAGAAGGTGGCGGTGCGGAGCCCTACAGACAAGCAAATAAAAGAAAACGTGCTGTTACACCACACTGATTTCAGCACAAAGCTCTTGATTTAAGGTATCAGTTGATACTTTTAATATGATACTGAGGAGGAAACTCACAACAGCAACAACTATTATTCTTTAACTGCAAGCTATTCTACTTTTGTAGTAACGAGCTGCCACTTCTAGGAGTGTAGTATAGTTCTATTTTGCTGTAAGAGCTAGCTCTTTGATTAACAACTTCTGGCTCATTTTCCTTTTCATTTCTATTTTTTTATTATTTAAGATACTCTTAAGAGTATTATTTTTTACACTCTTGTTTAAATGAAAGTGCGATTGAAGCTAGTTTATAACTTAGAAAATAATTTCAGCTCTAAAAGGATTCAATAGTATGTAGCATGAAAAACTTTTCTCTCAAAATCTAACATTCTTGAACTATGCTATAATCCAAAGATTGCATTGTTTTAAAAATCTATTTCTAAATAAAATATTATCTCTGAACAATTTTTAAATACCTAAAGTACAAACTTCCAGCTCCCTCTGCTGGCTCTACAATAGCGACAACAAAGACTTGGGACCTTCACACGAACAGTCAAACTGCATCCTTACAGTCAGCAAGCAGACATGGTTTGTGTCCCCTAGCATCTGTTTTAGAACCTGATTCAAGAAACAAACTGTCACTTTTATTTAGTCATGTGCAGTAAGACTAGCTCCACATATCCTTTTAAATACAGAAAGAAAGTCAAGTCATAAGAACAGCAGACTTTATTTAACAGGCATATACTTTCTAAAATATTTTTTAATACTGTATCACACAGAACTTTTATATGGTCTTTAGAAATGTATGGACTGAATTAACATCATTAAACATGAAATACTAGATGTTTTTAACACAACAGTTTAGCTTGTCTGATGTCTCTAGTTAACTGAGCAATCTTATTTACTGTCCTTTTCATTAATCCTTACATTTTGTAAGATGTCAAAATAGTTTCACTTAATTCTAAGATTTACCTTACAGAAGCCTATTTGAATTAGAAAGGTGAATTAATTTTTTCATGGAAAAATAGGCAGTTCTGAGATCATCTATGTAACAAAAATCAAAACAAAACTAAGTTTCAAACAAAACACACTAAGCTAACTGAAAATATTATTAACAACACTTTTGACAAACTGACAAAAATTGAAACTCAAAATAAAGGCTGCTGTTCCACTGACGATCTCCACCCTCCCGTATAGCAAGAGGTTATACTTCCCTACTCTGTCACCAGCAGCAACATCAATCAGACCTTGAGCACCAATTATTCTACTCTTGGGAATGATAATTTAACATCTGAAGCTTTATTTTCAGCCTTTCAAAGCTGAGATACAGCCTTAATATTCTAGTTGACCAGTGAAATTCCCTTCCCTTTCTACACTCAATAAATATATCTAATCAGTCTAAACATACGAGTAAGATACACATAGTTTGTGGATTAACTTTTAAGCAACACTTTCATGCACTATAGATGTTAAATACATGGCTGATTATTTGGTTTCCCTGAAGACACTGAAAAGACAAATACGAACATTTAAAAATGTAATTTCAACTACTGATGTGAAAAAGACTAAAAAAAAAATAAATCAGTAAATTTAGCTTAGTATCATTCAAAGACACTAATGTTTTTGGTTTTTAATAGCATTCCCTTAAGCCACCAGGATCTCACATTTTAAATACATATAATTATGTTATACATATGTTAAATATAAGTACTTACTGTTATTTTTGTTCGGGGGGTCTGACAGCCCTGATCTAAAAATGTAAAAAAATATTTTTAGACGTTTTTTCCCCTTTTTCAGAATCAAAGCAAATTTCAGTAAGCAACTCAGACAACATTTATCATAAAGATAACATTAAATTAACAGCATGGATTAGTACGGTATCACAACTGAGAATTGCATGCAAGACTTCTCATTCATAGGCACATCACTACTCCAGCATTGAACCTTACACAAAGGCAAATGCTAAATCAATGCTCCATCCAGATGTGAATATAGCCTCTTTCATAAAAATAAATACCAAATGTTGGAGTTCCATACAAAGAAGTTGTGTTGCTAGAATTACATTAATTAAAAACTGTTTTATTTGAACTTTGCCTGACTTGCCATTTAAACCACAAACACGCATTCAGCCCCCATCAGCAAATTCACAAGATATCTATTGCCAACAGGGGAAAAGAAAAGGAAAAAAAAAAAAAAAAAAAAAAAAAAGCTATGTATTCCTCTTATTAGATACTTCTATTCTCATTTAGTTTCCATTTCATTTATTTCCTTTTAATTCCATTTAATTTATTTATTTTTTCATTCCGAGTGTATTTATCTGCTCTCTGTACCCAAAACACATTTTGAAAAGAAGTGTTTCCACAGTGCAAGTAATGACAAGCTGGAGCACAATGAAAGATGAAAACATTTTCTGTCCCCATGATGATACAACATTAAAATTATAATTAACCTAAAAAGAAGATTTGTTTTTTAAAAAGTTATTATAAAACTGTTTGATTACCTGACAATGTTTCAGCTCTCAAAAAAGCAATAAAAAAGAGCTAAGACAAAAAATAGCAAGCAACTCAATGATGGCTCTGATAATAAAATAAAAAAGGGTAATCTCTAACACAGTTGATTCCAACAAATAAATAATTCACGCAGCTTTAAATTTTTCATTTACAGGAAGCATCTTGTTTGCTATTTAGCAGCCATAAAGCAGCACATACCATAGTGTAAGTTCTCAGGTCCTTTTTGGGTTGCCAGATTTGGTTCATTTTGTTGACAGTAGAAACGGAGCAAACAGTGCTGATCACAGAAGTGTTTCATTTCACCACGCCACTGCACTTTCTCTTTGAGAGTTCCTTGAGACTTACAACAGTCACATCGTGCAGCCTTAATGCAAAGGAAGATTTTGATATTTTTAAAAAAACATTGGAAAAAAATTCTTTCTGCATTTGAAAAGGGTATTTTTTTAAGAGTACTGAAGAATCATTACCACTACACAGTTCTGTGTTGCTCACATAGGCTTTGCAAAAGTTACACCTTTACAAAGATGGGTCTGTGCACACAGTCCCATCTGTCACTTTATTTTCAATTTTTTGCTGGGGGTTAACATCCAGAATGAATCTGCTTTGTTTTGCTAAGTCTTTATTAAGTCTTTAAAAACAGATCATTTCTAAAAGGTCAGCAAAAAAATGAACTTTATCCATTAATTTAAATTAATTCCACTGAAGCATTCTGCACAACAAGAGCAGAAAGCAACCGAGACTCCTTAATGACTCTCTTGAATCAAGGACAAGCAGAGTTCCACCACCCCCAGGTTTGGTGGTTTTGCTGTTTTAAATCAAACAGAATCACTTTGCTAGGTATCAAATCAGAGACCTTTAGTGCAAATAACTTTTATATTTTTATTATTTCCGTAGTTAGACAATTTCAGATACCAATTGTTTAGTTCAAAGTTTCTCTGTGATTTATAAATAATAGCTCTCAGCCTAAAAATGTTTCCACGAAATCTAGTTAGCATGTAACCTGAAACTCAAAATTTTGTTCTTCTATATCCATAGCTAAACATTTAAGTAATGCACCTTTCACCAGCATACATTACAATTCCATGAGGCATCACTAAGAAATACATTGTTTTTCTCCAAAATAAATTCCACCAAATTTAATCAGTCATGCTATAAGTTATTATCTGAACACTGGTAGCCTCAGTTTCAGATCTTCAACTAAACAAATAATTGTTTGCATTACTGCTCCCCTTGATATTGCTTGCAACCTGCATCCTAAAGCAGTACTTTAAAAAAATAAAAGCTTTATGAATGCTCAGGAATCAAAAATAAGTCAACCTAACAATATAGCCAGGAGAGGAAGAGAGAAGTTATGATATGCAACATAAAACATCAGTACATAAAACCATACACAACACTGCAGTTACGCACAAGGCTCTAATGGTTAAAAAAAAAAAAAAAAAAAGTCCAACTGTAGTTCTCAACACCAAAAAAGTATGAACAGGCCAATTATTTCAAATTTAGAAAGTCATTAAATGTTGCCTTCCTTCTCTGTACTTGAACAGTCTGTCACCATCCTTTGGCAATGTAGGAAATTCAGCTCTCAGTTGTAATTTTCAAATATTTAAGATGATATATCGAGAGACTAGATTCTAACAGCATAACCAGCTTTAAACTGGGGTCAATTAAAGCTGTGGTTTCAAGGATCACCTTGCACTAAGCACCAGGTGCCCCTGGAAGGACAGGCCCTTCTTCTCCCCCTCCTCTGTGCAGGTGTCAGCAGTGGTGCTTATGCACCTGCAGGGTACGCCAGGCCAGGGACCTGACAACACTGCTTTACCCCCTTCCTCCCTCAGTTTTTGTTACACTTGTAACTTTGACTTTCTGCTGATACTGATCCACAGTTCATTTTGCAGCAGAGATGTTCTCAGTGGGAAGAAAGATCAAGTAAGTTATATTCTTGGAAGGGAGTGGGGAAGAAGTGTGGGGTGTTGCCAAAATAGCCTCGATCTACCAGTTCAGTTAAACTGTGAATTCACACTTTTAATGTGAATGTATCTTCCCAAAGCCATCCAAAGGCTGAAATACTAGTTAAAAAAAAAAAAAAAAAAAAAAAAGAAAAAAAAAAAAAAAAAGCGGGGGGGACTCTGATTTTAAATCTCAAGCCCACCTAACACTAAGAACAGGTGACCCATGTACAGAAAAGACAACCTATTCTGACCTGCCGCACACTGCTTGACTATCAAAGCACCACTTACTGCTCAATTTTCTCTCTCCTTCAAAGAAAGGAAAAGATGACAAATCTTGTCAAATGCAGCAACTACAGCCTTCCTGCAACTGTTTCTTCCATTCTCCTGGTTCTGCTCCTTTGTTTAGGCCTTTGAATAAGTGTATTATTGTCTCTCCTGGGCTGCTACTAGGGTATTCAGGTGAAAAAATTGCAGTTTGCTTCCACATGGAAATTACTATTCCTTAGCAAGCCCAAGACTCCTTTATAAGGATGCTTCACTTATCCCTACACCTGCTACACCGTGACTCTCCCATTTCCATAATCATGCTTGCAGTCAATACTGTACACCCTTCCATGCACTGAAGCTTCCTGCTACCTGGTTGCTCTCCCCACTTCCCTGACTATGAACTTAAATGAAAGCAAAAGTGCGAATTAATGATTTTCTGCCTTTTTCTTCCTTCCTTCCCCTTTCTCTTTGTTTTCATTTGGGATACTGGCACTGTTTGTTAACTGAATGTCCAAAATACCTGCCTTCATGTCTGCTCTCTCTCTGTTTCCAAAAAGTCCATCTGTACTCTCTGTGCTCCAGTTGCACATAACTCCTTTGCCACTTGTGACTGCTCTTTGGTCAAATTAGTTTCTCAGGTCCAGCTTCAATATGTTCAAATGGGCATGGTGATTAGTATAAATCACTGTTTGCCCCAAACTTTGTTTAAAAAAAAAAAAAAAAATAAAAATTTCCATTTGTGGGGCTTCTATTTACATTTTTAATCCTCCAGTGATCTGTTCCTAAATGTTTTGCAATGGTTTGGACTGGTATTAATTTGACGTAATCTTAGCTGTCTGTTCTGAGCAAAATGTGCAACAAATAGGAAGGAAGAGATGATTCCAGAGAGTGAGTGATTATAAGAGAAAGGAGATCAACTGTTCTGAAACAGTATCTACTTGAAATTGAGATTATACAATGGCTGAATTTGGGAAAGAGAAATTCCACAAGGTTGTCTTGCTGCCATTCAGATTAATGCTGGCTCCGCTGTTTCAAATTTTACCACTGCTTACAATCATTGCTACCTGAGCTCACCAGCCACAGTCATTGTTCCTATGCCTCAGACTGCAGTTCCCCACCTCCTACTTATTCTTCGCTGAAGACATCTGGCCTCTGCTGAAGACACAGTCATCACTGTACATGCTCAGTCTAATCAATACTCCCCTGTAGCCTTGAATAACCTGTAAGTGCACTTCAACTAGAGTATTTTCAGCAAAGTTTCACAATACATATTTAAAGAAACAGATTTCTGTGCTCTTTTCAGAACTGCATACTCTTTTTCAAGATGCTTTCAATGTTCTACTATAAGTAACATCAAATTATTGCAATTGTCACAAAACATCAGACTACTAAAATATTTATATTTTTCAGATTAACATCCAAACCACAGCATGCAACTGAAACCTACAGATGGAGCTTTAATAACTTAGAGAGCTAACCTGAAGACACCAAAAATTTTACCTCTCTTCTTAGAGGACATGACACAGTAGAAATTTCCTCAGAACTCGGCACCAACTGGTAAGCGTAGTTATCGCCCAAGAGATGATTTGGACTGAGCTATTCTTTCACATTTCAATCCCTCATACTAGGTTTGAGGAACACTTCTAGATAAAGGAACACTTCTAGATAAGTCTGATGTGCTTCTAATACTTCTAGGTAACAGTCTGTTGTGCTTCTACTACTGCTACCTTCTCTGGCTTTTAGAGAAGAGAATTTTGGCACTAGCTACCTTCTTCTGGCTTTTAGAGAAGAGAATTTTGGCACTAAGGGAAGCGTTCCCATAATACTTAATTACTTCTAAAAGTTAAGATGCTTTCTAGGTAATGCTACATGAGAAAGATGTGTCCATAAAAAAAGTAGACAGAGAAGATGGAGACAGACACTTGTTTAATGAACACAATGCTGCTGTTAAAACATTACTAGGTTATTACCACTTATTTCTCTTCATGTACACATTCACTGAAACTTCGAAATAACACTGAACATTGCATAAATGAGACAAAGCTCATACAGATGTAACTATTCTTTTAAGAAGCCAACAGACAAAACAGTAAATGAAGTACAAATCTGGGGAGAGGTCCATATTTGTTCTGTCTTCCTATATTTTGATCATTATCTATTTATGGCTAGCTAAGAACATCAGCTAACAATGTACTATCAAATCTGAGATATCTGGAGTGATTTTTATAAAAGAAGGAGAAGTTACCAGCAAGGATGTAAAGGGGGAAAAAAAACAACCAAACAAAAAAACAATTTTAGCAAAACACACAACTTCCCAAAACCTACTACATGTGTTCCCCAGGTAAGAAATCCCAAAGTTTTATAACCAGAAGTGAATTAGGCAAAGGCTTTAAGAAGTATTTGAAAAAAACAACAACAAAAAAGACAATCAACAATTCAACATCATGTAACACTAGTTCCCCTAGCAAGCATAAGATTAAAAAAGTAAAAATACCTAACACTTCAGTATCATCAAAAGTAGCTAGTTTAGTAGTAGCAAGCCTGTTTAGATTGTCTTTTCATAGCATCATGTCTAACTTTCCTGTACCACAGTATCAACAACATTTCTTAAGCAGATTTAATGGACCAATTAAGTTACTGCCTTATCCCACAGATCAGGATAACCTGAAGTCACAGTTTCCAAGGAGTTCTCAAACCTGAATCAGAGTACGAGCTTCTGTAGAAGTTTATATATATAGAAACTAGTTTGGTACACACACTCCCACACTACATTCTTTCCTGAATGACCAAGAGATCTCTAAAGCACACCAAAGCTTTCTTAGGTTCTCTATCAGAAGGCACTTCTTATGCAGGGATAAATTTTATCCCATGCCCCAAGTTTTAAGGTGTATAGATTAAATATTAGTATATAAAGTTAACATTTTAGTTAAGTTTAAGAACTTTGCAGTCAAGCTTTGTCACCCTATTTTCACATGAGACAGAAGTAACACATTCTGGTCTTCAGCAGTTTTCTTTCAGGAACATCTAACAAGACCCTAGATCCATTATTCAAAACAAAGACTTTATAATTTTGGCTGTAACATTTCTGGAAGCAGCCATTCAAAAATATCAGATAGCTCTTCAGATTCAGTTCTTATGGCAGGTAGATCATCTTGAATTACAGGACTTGTCTCTAGCCCTCTAACATTTCAAGCTTTTTATTGCCTTCCAGGCTGTGTATAGAGTTTTGGTAAGGTGATGAATTTTGTACTGTCTTTTTTGCACTGCATCCGTAAGTGTAGTTCTTGTTTTGATATTATCAGTGTAGCTTTCCAGGATGTTCACACCAGAGATCAAATATTTTATCCACAGCACTATCGCAGGTTAAACCCAGTCCAATTTCACCTTTACTTCTTTTTAAAAAAATTTTTAAAACCCAAAATAAAAAAAAAACCCTCTTAATGTGAACTCTTTGCTGGTTGTGCTTCACAAGGTAGTTAAGCTTCCAGAGATTTAGAAATAGATGCTGTCATCTGTTTGATTTAAACTTTTATTAGAAATCCATTTGGTCTTGCTTTTCCCTTTGGCATCCTTTCCACTGGGAAATATTGAACAATCAAAGCCTCTGCAGTTCAAACTGTGGGAGAAGAGGAAAAGGCAAAAAAGGAGGCAAAAACAGGAACAAGAAAAACTCTGCTAATGTAGTTTATCGTCAGTCAACTCAAGGTATCATCCAGTTGCAGTTAACAGTGTTTTCAACATTCTGAATACACATTTAAGAAGTTTTAACAAGAAAAATATGGTATTAATTGAGGAGAAAAAAACTGAATTGTAAAGTAACAAATATACATAGTAGTTTCTTGGTTTTCTGTAACTCAAGACTTCCTTGTCAAATGAATTAATAAAATCAGATGGTAGAAATGCTGCTCTAAGATCTAAGAAAACTTAAATGATGAAATTAATACATTTGCTTATTGTGTAGCAAATGCTTTGCTGAAGTAAGCCATATTTGCTGCACAGTCCTTGAGATATCCTCACATGTGCATTTTTGGTTTTTTTAACTGTGGAGCTCTCGTCAAAAATTCTGAGTTACTTGCCTTGTAGTACCAGTCCTGAAATTTTTTACAGCACTCTTCACTGCAGAAATCTCTCACTACACCATCAAGTTCCTTAGATGCTCCCTTTTTGCACAGCTGTGAGCAGTAATTACAAGTAACACATCTCAGTCCTAACCGTCTTGCAAAGTCTTGTTTATATAGCAGCTTGCAGCCTGGAAACAGATTTTAAACATTAGGATCAAAGTAATTTTTACAGAGAGATATCACAGTTAAGAGTTAAATATTGAAAATTAAATGAATACAACAACAGCTAACAACTGGGGCTTCAGAAATTCAGGTTGCATAATATGACTGTATTTCAAGATATTTTTACCTAAATACCTTTCCTGCACAACTCTGGTTTCGTGTGATGTCTGCATCTTTTTCACAACACTACACTTGAATCTGTGCTTATCAAATCCCTGAATAAACAGCTGGAAAAAAATACATAATTTTATTTTCATATAGACCCATGCAAAAGTGTTGACTTGGAATTACATTGCTCAATTACACATCCTCAGAATACTAGACAACCAGACAATGACAAGCAGAAATTTTAACCTAAACAACAATACCTGTCTTCAAGGATCAACTTATTTCTATTACTACTTTTGTTCATATTAATACAATAAATCACTTAATTTTTAAGAACACTAATAAGTCTAAGATGACCAAGGAACTGAGAAGTTTCTTAAAAAAAAACAAAAAAACAAAACAACTATAAACTAAGCAATGATCAGTACTGAGAAAAATTATGCAATGACAGGAGTTTACACATAAAATTTGTGTAGGGTTTGTACGCAATGAATCTCCCCACCCCCATCAGGTGGGTTGGGTTTTGTTTTTTTTTTGCAATTGCTATGCAGTCATAATTTCAAGGTTGCCATAATGAGAGCTATATTCTTCAAAATGTGATCCTCCCTCAAGCAAATTAGAAAAGACATTCTAACGTATTAAATGCATTAGAAGATGAATACTGTAGCTATTACACAGGCTATTCTGAGAATATAATGTATTTAAACTACCTCAAATCTAGTGTCTATTCACCTGATGCCTAAATCATATACCATATATCTCTAATTGTGCTAATTTTACAGAAGAGAATAGTATGAGAAGATGAAGGAACTGTCTATACTAAACACTGGAGGTACAAGATAACACAGACCTTTATCTGAGGTACTGCATCTGTTTTTACGATCTCCCAAATATCACAGTACCACTAAGACCAGAACCCAAGTTTTCAAGTGCCCACGCTGCTACGGCATATAGTCTAACAAATGCAGACTTCTGTACTTCTGGTAAGTTATGAAAGTCAGTATGTAACACACATGCTGCACTCTCTCTGGCATACAGAAAATAAAAAAAACTGTAATTACAATGTATTCAGTAATTTCAGTAAAGTGAATCGTGTTGTTGTCTATTAGGGTACAATTTAATATATGTGAAACTGAGATACTGTTTTAAAATTACTAAAAGCACAAGAATGCAAGTGGAAGCTGCAGCAGACAGTATCTTCTAAAACCAAGAGTTTTAACTTGCAATGCTACAAGCTTTGCTAACAAATTAAATTTGCTAGCAATGTCAAAATAAGACAATTGTAGAATATTGCACAAATAAGACATTGCAGGTAATAACTGTGTTTTAAACTGTGGGGTTTTTTTAGTTGCATATCTGATTCTTTAACAGCAGAATAAAGAACATTATTAAGAGGCAAAACAGGCAGTGCAGAAGGAAAGTGCCAAATCAAGCAATCATCCTTACAGTGCAACTAATTTGGATGTTAAATACACTGCTCTGAAAGAAATACTAATCCTGAAGATAGCAGCATGTGCAAGCTATTAGTTAAAAGTACCCATTAAAGCACTGAAAATTTTTTGCCAATATTTTTTCCTGCTGGCTGTATCTCTCATTATTTTACAGGGCACCAGATTCTTTCCACTCCTTTACAATTCCAGAGATAGCTCAGCACCACAATGTATCCTCCTCTTCAGCTGTGCCTTAGAAGAGTCATTCAATGCTGCATCAACCTTTCAAGACTACAGATTAGTAGGAGTACTCTACTACCAATCTGGCGAGCTGTATGCACCTGGCTAAACAGTCTACAAAAAGGAATGGACAAAGTTGACATTTTTCTTGCCTACTACTCTATAGGGAGTAAAATTGAAGAAGATACTGCTATTACATTAAAAAAAGTTATCAGGTAAGAAATTTTCCATTCCACAGTCAAACACCTCCCACATCTCAGTGACTCATGGAAAATAATGAGCAGTGAACATTAAGTAAGGGGAAACAAGAAGTCCAAAATTCCAGCCCTTAAGACTAAATGCCTGAAAAACATAGCAGGGTTTTATAGATCACTGACTTCGGGGCTTCTTGCTGAAGGAGGCCTCTACTGAAAATTCATCTTTATAGAACTTCATATGTTGACAGAAGGTTGTTACAACCCGTTCTAAAATGGAAATACAGACTTTTCTTTCTGCAACATCATAAGCAAAATTATTCAGCTTTGTCTGATACTTTTTTATGTCTTTATAATACATAACTTAATCCACCTGACCAAAGAACATTTGGTTGCTTCAAGATCTTGTCACTTCAGACAAAGGGAAAACAAAATGCCTTTCTTTTTATAGGATGTATTTTAATTAGGTCCTTGGTACTCAATGCATATCTAGGATATAACTTATTATAATGCTATGGTTTTGATTGGAACAGTAAGACTTACTTTGATGTATGGAAAAAGGTATTTGCCTTTGGCAAAAACAGATTCTGAGCTCAAACAACTTTGTATTCACTGTGCAGAGTGTAAATCCTGAATCAACAGAGCAGTAGCATCCACTCTGGCTTTGTAGATGTGACCAAGAAGTGGGCTTTAACTGACAACACATTGTGGACGAGTAGGTGTCTGATCTTTCCAATAGCAACACTAAGACCCAGAAGGTCTGGCTAGCCTAACTCCCCCAGGGACTTAGGGCTTATGAGTATAAGTGCTGTCTAAGACAAACAGCTGACAGTCCTAACATTTTCAATAAAAATATATAATTAAAAACCTAAGCTCCTCAGGATTTCTGCTATAACATCAGACAGACAAGTTACAGTGTGACCATAAGGAAATCTCTATTGCTTTAAAGTGATTCTAAGAGAAAATAGCTCTTAATAATTTCAAAGAAAAATGTAAGTGCAGGTCATTTGGTTTCAGCTATGCAGGTAATCAATTATGTTCTTTAGCAAAGTTCTAACAGAAGGCCACCCCCCAAGTTAACTGTCTTGGAAAGACCATTAAGAAGTGCTTTCAGATGAAGTACCTCCAACTCAAAATTTGAACCAGGCAAAAATGAAGTAGCTGAGTATTGGCTAAATCAATGTAACGTTATCCTTAATTATGCTATTAGAATTCTGGCTTCTATGCAAACCCCAACACAAAACCTATCCCTCCAAACAGCTTTGAACTTTGGTTTCCCCCATAAACTGTAGAGAGAAGATAAGCATCTGAACAAATGCAATGGAGGCTTACTGGCAGGACAACAAACAAGCAGTTCCTCCAAACCTCTACTTCAGACACATTCCAGGTCAAAAGAGCTTCCTTTCATTTGGCAGTGCCAAGAACTGCCAGATCCAGCCCTGCAGAGCTACCCACAAAAGGAAACATGCTTCACTTGGCTGTCTGAAGACTCAGTACAAGCAAACTACTAAGAACCTGATCCTAGAATGCCCAGAGAAGTTTTGGATGTCCCCCTCCCTGGAGGTATTTAAGGCCAGGTTGGATGAGGCTTTGAGCAACCTGGTCTAGTGGAAGGTGTCCCTGCTGATGGCACGGGGGTTGGAACCGGATGATCTTTAAGGTCCCTTTCAACCCTAACCATCCTATGATTCTATTCCACCAGCAGCATCTACCCAAATTACAGGAAGTTCAGTACATTGACACATCAAGCAGCTGTGAAAAAGGCATGCTGAAGTAGAAATACTTCATAAGTCCTCAACACCAGTCTCCTCTGACCACAGAGAATAACATCTTTTATAGAATGTAATTGTTCTATCCTGAAAACAATTAATTTTTTACCTCTGAAAGGCTGCACTTACTAGACTACCTTTCTCCTCTCTCAAGCTACAAGACTTGCTGTTCTCTCATCCTGTAATAACCTCCACTGTTATCTTTTAACAACTTCATCTCTAGAAGGTTAACAACAGGCCTGTCATATCACAAGCCCATTAAGTATCAAAAAGCCTGTAGCATCACAAGCTAGGTCTTGGAAGATTTCTGGAGCTATGTTCCAGCCACATCTTTCTGCTGTTTTCTGTTGCCTCCCACTGTATTGATATGAATGCAACAGCCTCCTCTTCCACAACCACATTCCTATATCCACCGTCTCTGGTTTCACAATAAACATCCCTATCCTCAGAAAGACAGAAGCAACACAGCCAATTTTGCATCCTGCTTAGATTACCACTAAAATAGACCCCATCCCCTGAGTAACAGAGAAGTTGTGTATCCTACTTCCTTCCATGTCTTCCACTTAAGAACCTTATATTATTTTATTATTCAACTCAACTTTCAGATGTCCTCAGTTTACACTGATGATTTCTGATATTAGATACTAGCTCCTTCCTTTTTCCTCCCTCCTGCTCCCATCCAGGTACTCTGTTTCTGCTTGTTCTTAAACCTTTTTAAGTTGACTATTCTTTCAGGTAAATAAGAAGCATCTTTATAAGCTTCCTTCTTCTTGTGCTCATAATCTCAGCACTTTAAATTGTCATCACCCCTTATCTACAATAGCCAACGCTGGTTTTGCTTAAAGAACTGCCTCAAACCTCTTCAAAAACACAACAGTGGAATTAACACCGAAGAACACCAATGTAACAACGACCACTGTGGTCAAACAATGCACAGGGTTTCACTCGACATTCTTTACCATGTTAGAAATTAGCTCTCCATGAACAGAAAAATCTCAAGATTCAGCACAACCTGTACTCAAAATTTAAATGATATTACTTTAACAGTATCAGTGTTCTCCCGCTATAGACAGAGAGAAGATAAACACACAATCTCTTCCTCAGCATAGTTTTAAGTTTTGACTTTTTCAAAAAGAATGCTGCTAGAAGTATCAAAATCCAGGTTAAGACATTAAAATTTTCAAGTCATTCCAGAAGATATGCATCCAATAAGCACTAACTGGAA